GACACAATTTTCATATAAATTGATGGGCAGTGCATTCGATTGGGCCTTGGACTCCTCCTGTCCTGTCTTCCACTCGATTGTTTAAGCACATCGACTGGCAATTAATTCTGTCACAACATTCGAACAGGAGGATCGAGTACATCCTGGAGCAGTGCGTCCCTCTTATGGCAGCCCCCTTGGTGCGAATTGATTTGATTTCTCGCTCTTTTTCGCTGCGTTATCGTTAGTGCTGCAATTGTTGCTGTTTCTGTTGATTTTTGGCCGCAATGAAAGCGCATTTTTAATGCAATTAAAACAAAAACAAAAACCAAAACGATAGCAACGGAAAAAATTGCGCAAAAACGGGGAAAAATTGCAAATTGCATTTATAGTCGAAAATTGCATTTAATAATGCAACAGAAATAGATCCATAATTTAGTTAGTAGCAGCTGCATGGCGAGAGGGGGCAGGGGCTGGGGCTGGGGCAGGGGCTGGGGCAGGGGCTGAGGCATGGGCTGGGGCTGGGGGGAGGGGACATGCAACTCCCAAGTTGATTACATTTTACACAAAAGTTTGAATAATGCATCCCGTTGTGGCGTCGTGGAGCGCAAATCAAAGTGCATTTAATGCGATAATATAAATATGGCATAAATGGGATAATGAAATATGCGACGCGACGACAAAAACCCAGATGGAGAAGCACGTGCCGCACTCCGTGGCATCGATGGTCCTCCGGTGTCCAGTGTCCAGTGTCCAGTGTCCGGCGGAGAGAACAATGCAGCGGACAAAGGCCGGAAACGGAAACGTCGCATTGCCAGCACACAAAAGGCGCAAAGCAGCGCAACAAATGAGCTCCACTCTCCCGCTCTCTCCGCCAATCATCATCTCTCTGTGTTGAATGATAGCTCCACTGCCACCCAGCACCCACTCCCCTCCGCCAACTTAATTTTCCCAATGATTCCACAGATACATATACATATATATATCTATCAACGCAAAAGGAGGATGGGGAAGTGGCATGGATGCAATGGTGGTAATTCAATTTGCCCCACGATGCAGATGCAGATACAATCGTAGAGGGGGGAGGTTGGAGTAGAGGGGCTGCCGCTGCTGCTGGCAACGAAAGTCACGTAAAAAGGCCTTTGAATGCAAATGAAATGCATCCAAAGTAGCATCCGAGTAATTGAATATGCAGCTCCACATCTGCATCTCTGTGCCCCACATAGTGGCGTCACCGTGTCATCAAGATCCACATTGGGAGAAGGCTAATAACTGGAGGGCAATCCTGAATGTTAGAGCTCCGTTTTCCATCGTTCCATGCTTGCAAGTCCAGAAGGAGGTCTGCATAGATCTTGTCACGCTTCCAGTTATGGATTCCTGCTACAGCGGATATCTGGGGAATGCAAGCCCGACTTTGAACGGGACTGCTCCTTCCATCTATTCTCTTCGGGATGTTGAAACAACCGTGTCACGCTCCCATCGCTGCCATCGCTAGCTCCTCTCATCATCCGGTATCCAGGAGGACGCCGCCTCGAACGAGCGCTCCACACTATGGGTTTATTGCATGCAATTAAGTTCAATAAAGTGATGCAACCCATCCGCCGAACGAACGAACGGAGGAGAGCATTTGTAAGCCTTCTCTGATGTTGTTGCTGTTGCTGCTGCTGTTGTTTTTGTTGTTGTTGTTGCGTAATTAACGAAAGTGCGCTTGCGGCTGCGAGAGGTGGCACAGAGCAAGGATTCACAGGGAGACAGAGGAGCACCACGGGAGGCAGGAAGCAGCAGGAGTCGCCTCCCGGCTGCCGGCTCATTTACACGATCCGCAGATGCATAATGAGCGGCATATGCCGTCGCGGCCCAGGCGGTTTTTATCGCCACGCGGACACGGACACACATGCCGCACAGAGACACAACACAGATGCATATAATGGAGGTTGGAGCCGATGGACGCCTGGACGCCTGGACGCCGGGACGCCTGGACGATGAATGCCTAAATTTAATTAAAGTCAGGAGCAAGCGCGTCCTTCGTCCTTCGTGTGCCGTGTGTCCAGTGTCCCTTTCGTCCTAATTCGATTAACAATCAACGAAAACTCTGCAAACAAATAAACTTCAAGTGGTAGTGGAGGTGGGGCACCAAGTAATCGCATAATTAAATTGACACACAGATACTCCCACACGCACACACACACACACACACACACCGACAAGGGATACACAAGGATACAGCCGCAGTTGCGGGTTGGTTTGGCGCTATATGTATTCTCCCGGGGAGCAGCCGTTCAGGGCTCAAGCCGCAAGCAGCTGCCGTGAGCGTGGGCGTGGCATTGGTCGGAGGGACCAGTGGTCGCCACAGCAGTGGGGCAACATCTTTCGACACTTTGTGGCTGCTGCTGTTGTTGCGGCCGACTAAAAAAGATTCCAAATTTGTTGCCAGTTTCGCGTGTAAAACTTCCATGTAAACATGCAAATTTACACGACACCCACACACATGCACACAGAGCCAGCAACAGGGATCCAGGGAACAGGGCCAGGGGTCAACAGGTTATCTGGGAAATATGGCAATGTTAAAGGGGGATTCTTTCTTATAGGCTTTGAAATTCGACATTAGACCGATTCTCGGAAGATCTTTATCGTTTAGATTTTTCTCATGCCCATTACGGGGGGTATATTTTTCCGATTTCAAGTCCTCTTTTCCAGTTGAAGGCCTTGCTTTGAAGCCCAGTCCCCTTTTTGGACCGCATTTGAACAGAAGTTCAGATTGAGGCCCAAAGGTACAGACGAGGCTTGATTATAAAGCGCCATTCATGCCATTGTTCGCCCATCGTCCCCACCGAAACGGCAGGCTAATTTGGTTTGCATTCGGAAAATGGGAAATGCTTTGGGCGACGCTCTCCCTCTTTCCCCCTACCCTCGAATGGCTGAGTGAATGGCGTCTTTCATCCACCACTGGAACATGGAAACACAGCTCCACAGCTCCACAGCTCCGTTCCCATTACCATTCCCATTCCCATTCCCATTGCCGGCGCTGCATTCAGAGTCTGAGAATTGGATTAGAGTTAGGTCCATGGGTCCCGTAATAAGCATAACGTTAATTGAGTATGGTAATTCACTTAACTGTGGATCCCCGAGCCCCCCGCGGAGTCGGAAGGGTGCGGTGCGACGGGTTTCTCGGCCTTAATTTTGCTGCATTTTCAGGGGCCGCTGCCTGTTTATCGCCTGCTGTTAATCTTAAACGATTTTGTTTTTGGATCCCATGATGGAGGAGCGGAGAGAGAAAGGCGAGAGCAGGATGCGGAGTGGTCTGTGTCCAGCGGGAAATCTGTGGAACAGATTCATCATGTTTGCCTACAACTCTGCGTCCAAGGAAGCGGGGGGGGCCATGGGATGCCAAGGGGTGCGGCAGTAGACAAACACAAACGGGCGCAAAAGAGCGCTGTGAAAGAGAGAGAGGGGGAGAGAGACGGTGCGCCTTCAGCTGCAGGACCAAGGATGGCGCTGGTTGGGACTCCTCCGCCAGCAGCAGGACATTTTTAATTAAATTGCATTTCCGCTTGGGAAATTTTTTATGAAGCTACAAAAAAGCAGCAGCGCAACGACTTGGATCCAGGACGGAGGAGCAGGAGCAGGAGCAGCAGCAGGAGCAGGAGCTGCAGAGAAAGCGCATTTTACTTTTGCCTGCTTTCGCGTTGTGTTGCTTTTGTACTTATTTTTATGCCGCTGCTTCATCATATCCGTGGGCACGCCTCCGTCCCCCATCCACACCCATCCCTCATCGCCTAGGACACGCAATCACAGTAGTTTTGCGCCTGCGGTGGACCCCGGACTGGGGCTCCAGAGTCGGATACGGATACGGAGATGGAGATGGAGATGCGAGAAGGGGCATAGAAGCTGCTGCTGGCTCTCGCATGTAATTCAATTTTTTCTCGCTGCCTCCGCCTCATTCTGCCCCTCTGACTCCGCCCCCTCGTTGCCCAACGAACGGCAATCCAACAAAGAAGCATTTATTTTGCGCCCGGCTTTGTATGCGCTTTTCTTTGTTGCACACAAAACTCAATATCCCCGACTTGATGTCCTTTGTAATGCATCCGCTTTTGGCAACCAGCCCTCCCCTGACTGACTGACTGACTGACTGACGGACTGACTGACTGACTGACTGATGGACGGACTAGCGGATGAAATATCTGACTGACGGACGGAATACCGACTGACTGTAAATCTGCCTGGAGCAGCGCCAGTTGACATACCAACCGGAGCCGGAATCAGAGTCCAGGAGCAAAAGCAGGAGCAGAAAAAGGAGTAGGTGCGGGAGCAGAAGGAGAATCAGGAGAGTAGCAGTAGGAACTGCCTTTAACATCAAACTTAATGACTTTGGCCAAAAGCTAAATTGCACAAAGTGTTCCACTATCCGCGCTCCTCGGCTCCACTCCGCCATTCCTCGTATCCCGGGTGCTGCAATCAACGAGGAAGCGGCTTTTAGGGCCATTAGCTACTAGTTTCGGCACATGTTACGGCTCCCCGGGTCCCGGGTTCCGGGTAACGGGTCCATGTGTGTCCGTGTTTTTCTGTGTTTTTTTTACATCCACAGATGGGAATTCGCGATGGGCGAGACGGGCGGGGCGGGGCCGGGCGAGGCGAGGCAACAATTTGACCCACATTAAAATCAAATTACAAGGCAAAAATGTTGCAGGAATTTCAATTACAATAGTTTTCTGATGCACATTTGGCAACGGATCGTGGATTTCGGAATCCCATTCGGCGGAGGGCACAAACCGTATTGTTTATGGACCGAAACATTCGCCGCTTATTCGGAGTTCTTCCCAGCGAACCCAATATTCTTATTTTCCTTTATTTCTAATTTCAATTGCAAGGTGTATTAAAATAAGCTGAGGCATTCCTCCTCTCTTGACTTTGTGATTTTATTTCCCATACACACATGTATCTCGCACACTCTCAGACCAAACTCTCCAGCAAACAAAAAAAACCAAATATACATATATATTTATAATAGAACTATTACGTACCCAATTATCATCACCTTATTTAAATATTCCTTGTGCCCTTGCGAAAAGGCAGAATTCGGCTTACTCTCTTCCACTCTCACGCTCTCTTTCCCTTACGTTGCCTGCCTCTCTTCACTTTTTTCCCGCTCGCTCGTACGAGCATAGTATTTTTTTCCAAGATTTGTTTACGCGCGTTTACTATGTTGTTGTTATTCCAATATTCAATATCACTGCACCAGCACCACACTCTTCTGAACCACCAAAAACAAAACAAAACACAATATGCAATCCTCAACAGAACGCACTTCGGCATTTTTGCACTTGCAACAACACAGAATTAGGCTTTCTCTCTTCCACTCTCATGCTCTCTTTCCCTTGCATCGCAGGCCTCTCTTAACTTTTTTCCCGCTTAATTCGCACAAGTATATTTTTTTCCATGATTTGCTTATGCGCGTTTAATATTTTGTTGTTATTCCAATATTTAATATCATTGCACCAGCACCGCACTCTTCGGAACCACCAAAAACAAAACAAAAAGCTATAAATACATATAAATAATTATACATATGTGTATGCAATCCTCAACAGAACGCGCTTGGGCACTTTTGCACTTGCAAAAACGCAGAAATCGGTTTTCTCTCTTTCACTCTCACACTCTCTTTCGCTAATATCGCAGGCTTAATCGCTCAACTTTTTTCCGCTCAACGCGTACGAGTATAGCATTGTTAAATATTTTAGTTTCCACCAATTAGATTTTTTCAAGTATTTGTTCGCGCGTGTTTACTCCTTTGTTGTTATTGCCAATATTCAATATCGCTGCACCCGCACTATCGATATGCGGCCTTTCGGCCTTTCGTATCGATGTATCTGTATAAGGTATCGGCATTACTGATCTCGTCAGCTGAGCATTTCAATCAAATGAACGCAAAAAGAAAAGTGAACAAAAGTGGAATAAAACGCGTAAAATTATATAGTTTGTTGTCAGTGCATGTGTCCGGTTAAAGTGTCTAATATTCATGGCAGTTTCGAACGAGACGATACAAGTAAATACCTGCAAACAACTCGCAAAAAATACGCACGCTAAAAATTTTTTTTGGTGAATGAAAAGGATTGCCTGTTGGTTAAAATAAAGTGAAAGTGAAAGGAAAGTGTTAAGTGATTGTGATTGATGTGAATGGAAATGCTATGCCCAATCAAGGCCTCAATCAAGAAGCCGGCCGCAAAGTCGCCGCCGACAAATGACCGACGGCACCTGCCACGCACCCACGCACCCACGCACCAACGCACACCTTGTGGCAGGCAAGCAAAGAAGGTGAGTGGAAAGGAAAAAACACAGAAACAGAAACAGAAAAGAGATAAACAGACAGCTTCTTATAAATAAGAGCGGAGAGGGGGTGGGAGAGAGAGAGAGCACATCAACAAGTAGCAGCTAATCTGACAGCAAAACAAATAACTGTGATTTTTATATGAAGAGAGAATGGAAAGGGAAAGGGAAGGGGGAGGGATAGAGTGCTAGCGAATGCGAGCGAAAGGGAGAGACTAATGATGATGGGAAATAAAATGAAACAAAATAACGGAGGAATCGGGTTAGTAAGTCAGGCCATCGCCGCCCCCCCCTGATCCGGGATCAGGACAAGTCAGGTCATGTCGAGTCGTGTCGAGTGGAAGTCGTGCTGGAAGAATGGAAGGATGGATGGATGGCTGGAAGAATGGGCGGTCGCAAGGGGGCGGGTGACGACACGCTCTAATCAAAATGTGTTTATTAATTAAACAAAATAACGAAATCAGCAATGGGGGAGCGGAAAGGGGACAAAGAAAAGAGAGCGGGAAAGAGAGAAACGCCAATTAAGTTTTTCGGCCTGTTAGCAAAGCTTACTCTTCGGTGAGCTCCTCAGTGGCACACAGTGCAGGACATGCAACAAGGCTGCCGCCCAGCCCACCGCGTTGCTGCAGCAGTAATTTGTGTGTACACAAAACCCGTCGAGTGGCAAAACGCAACAACACATACGAGCGCGTGAGGCAAGGAGCGGCCGAGGAGAGGGGGCGACCCCTCAGAAGCGCCCGTGCAGGTCGCCGATTTCTAATTTATTCACTTGCCCCGACACCGGACCCCGCCACCGGACCCCGCCACCGGACTGGCTCCTCGTTCTTGTTATGTTGCAGCCTGACGCCGCTGCTACCCCTCGCCTCTCGCCCATCGAGGCCAGCAACAATTAGAAATTCTCGCATGTTGCATGCAAAACATCAAGGGATGGTGTGAGGAGGGGTGCAGGGGTGCAGGGGGGTTGCTGCACGAGGAGGCGCTCGAGCGCAAGCTGACAGAAAAATTAAAACGGCAACAAATTTGTTGCATACTCCGCGGCAACGCGCTTCAAGTGGCACAGGTCCCGTCCGTCCGTTCGTCCGTCTTTCCGTCTGTCCGCCCGTCAACTGTGCCTGGCGACTCTCGACTCTCGAGACTCCCGCGACTCGACTCTTGCGACTCTCGAGGCTCATGACTGCGGCAAATTAACACAATATCTTAGAGCCTGCTGCTCCGAGGGGGGTTTGAGTGTGTGGCAGGCAGAGTGGGGCACACATGTGGGGCAGGGACTGGATTTTAATAAATTGTCGCTGTAAATTGGCCTCGAGCCTGGAGCCCTATGGCGGGGGTCTGGGGCTGAACCGAAATCAGCTTAAATTGCATTGTTTATCGCATTTGTGGAGCATTTTTCAGCTTACAGGCGGATAAGCGCCCCTCCTTCGATAATAACTTTATAGCGAGGGTGTAATGGGGGACTATGGTCGAAAGGAATCTTCAGGCATCCATCCCCCTAACGAGGAGGGGGAGCCAACGACTTAGTCGAGATATTTACAGCTAGATCATCTATATCATTATATCAATACATACATATTTACCTACTATATATAACTATATCTTTAAGGAATTGTTTGAAAAATCTTGGATGGAGAAATATTTGTAATAATAATCTTTCGTCAATATTTTGGTTCAAACTGATCCGATCCTGGTTGGAAATACAGTTTTCTACTGGATGTACATGTATGCATTTTGTTTTACACATTTTAAGGAAGCGTTTCGATCCTCTTGCATTGGGAATATTTCATCTACATCTTCCCGTCGAGGGGTTAGAGTATCCATACAGTCCCATTGCTGCCGCTGCGAGGGTCGTATGCTCAGTTTGTGACCATTATTTCGATGATATTTCCATTACACATTCTGACATTGAATCGTGGCATCGGTGACTGCAACAGAATTTCTGACTTGGGGGTGCCGTAATTTTTACCGCACACAATGGCGTGGATTGGGAGGGGGAGGCAAACATTTCAGTGGCGCCGGTCCATCCCTCCACCGGCTCACCGTTCGCACCGTTCTCACCGGCACTCTCACGGCACTCTTCTACTATTTGCATATAACAAATAAACACACACGCACGCATACACAACACATGTGTGTGTGTGTGTGCCTCTCTCTCACTCAGCCCCCTGTTCACCCACACCAGTCCGCAAATAAACTGATAAACTGATTGCAACCGCATCGTGGTGTGACATGAAGAGAGGGAGGGGTGAGGGGGGGGTGCGGGATGCAGGGCAACGCGCATTCAACCGAAACCGAAACAGTAGCGAAATTTATAACCAAAAAGGGAATTACAAAATCGCGTATAAATTTATGTACGACGAACGAGTGCAGGGGAGTGGGGGGGGGCTCCGACTCCGCTTTCCGACCGCTATCCTTTAACCCCTCTGGAACCCTGTGCATGCACCCGCCGGAACAGAGCAACAAAAGCAATAACGCAACGCTGATAAAACAGATTTCGATATCAGCGACAAGCGACAAGGAGAAGGCGGTGAGGGTGGGTTGAAAGAAGGGGAAGGGAAGGGTATCGCGACAGTGATGCGATTCGATGCGATGTGAATGCAGGATTGTGGATGCGGATGCGGTGGCAGGGAATGGGGATGGGGATGTTGAATGGAGTGCCAATATGATGCGGGGGTCTTTTTGCATAAAGTAGTGCTCGTATTGCGTGTGTGTGTGTGTGTGTGTGGGGGTGTGGGTGGGGCTTGATCAATTCTTCGATTACAACAGAATATTGTTTGGAAATTTTCGATCGCTATTGAGTAAGAAATATGAAAGATCGATGGATGGGAGATACAATTATTATTACACAAGGATTATATTTTTCGGTTTTCGTCTGAAAAATTCGGAGAATGGGAGAACTCAATCGTTTTCAATCGATCGAGTAGATCCGCTGCTCTGCTCCGTTCAAGGCTCCGTCCCCTCCCCCCCCCTGTGGTGCTACGAAAAACTCTAGCCACCCATAATTTACTCGCTTTTCGGAAAATTCGCCCTTTGGGATACACCAGATACAAAGATACTCACCCCGCGACGCGCACTCCTCCTGGCTGCCACATGCCACATGGATACCCATATAAAAATATCAATTTCACCGAAAATGCAAATTCTGAGAGACAGAGAGAGAGCGGATAGAAATGCTGCTAGATAGAGGGGGTGGGGAGGGGAGGGGGAGTCCTGTTTATGGCTGATGCCTCGACGCGTACCCAGCAGATTGTTTCCGCTGCTGTAGATTTTTTGGCATTCAGACACATACTAGAGAAGGAGAAAGAGAGAAAGTGATAGAGATAGAGGGGGAAAGAGAGAGAGGCAGCTCCAATGACTCGGAAGTAAGTACGAGAATGTCTATGCATCGCATCTCTTCCTCCCACACACTCCCACTTCGACTCTCTCTCTCTCTTTCTCTCTTGGTGAGTTTCACAGCTCACCTCCTTCTGTGGCGCCTCCAACGGCCGAAGTGTTAATTTACGAAATTGCAGGAGAATTCATTGAGTTAAGAAGTTCTGGGTCTCTGGGTCTCTGGGTATCGTCTCCTACTGCCTCCTATCGCTTATTTATGCATGTAAATGTGCGTGTGTGGGTGTGTGTGTGTGTGGGGGGGTGTGGGAGGGTGTATCCCAAAGTCCCGCACCACCCGCGTGCACACAACACGTTTATTTCCACCTCTAAATATTCTTTAGCCCAAAATGCCTTTGAGCCTTTCCTCTCCACTAGTT